TGGAAATTCACAGTTCACGTATTTCTGAAGCCTGACTTGGAGAATTTTAAGCGTCTCTTTACTAGCGTATGAGATGAGTACAATTTTGTGGTACTTTGAGCATTATTTGGCATTGCCTTTCCTTGGGATTGGAATGAAAACTGACCTTTTCCAGTCCTGTGGCCAATAGTGAGCTTTCCAAATTTGCCGGCATGTCGAGTGCAGCACTTTCACAGCATCATCTTTCAGGATTTGAAATAGCTCACCTGGAATTCCATCACCTCTACTACCTTTTTCATAGTGATGCTTCTTAAGGCCCAACATTCAGAAAACTAATATCATGGCATCTGGTCCCATCACTTCGTGGCAAATAGATGGGAAAACAGTGGCTGACTTTTTTTCCTGGGCTCCAAAATCACTGCAGATGGTGATGGCAGCCATGAAATTAAAAGACGCTTACTCCTTGGAAGGAAAGTTATGACCAACCTAGACAGCATATTAAAAAGCAGAAACATTACTTTGTCAACAAAGGTCCATCTAGTCAAGGCTATGGTTTTTCCAGTGGTCATGGATGGATGTGAGAGTTGAACTATAAAGAAACCTGAGCACCAAAAAATTGATGCTTTTGAACTGTGGTGTTGGAGAAGACTCTTGAAAGTCCTTTGGACTGCAAGGAGATCCAACCAGTCCATCCTAAAGGAGATCAGTCCTGGGTGTTCATTGGAAGGACTGATGTTGAAGCTGAAACTTCAATACTTTTGCCACCTGATGCATAGAGCTGACTCTTTGGAAAAGACCCTGACACTGGGAAAGATTGAGGGCAGGAGAAGAGGACGGCAGAGAATGAGATGGTTGGATGGCATCACCGACTCAATGGACATGGGTTTGGGTAGGCTCTGGGAGTTGGTGATGGACAGGGAGGCCTGGTGTGCTGTGGTTCATGGGGTCACAAGGAGTCAGACACTACTGAGCGACTGAACTGTACTGACCTGAAAGAGCTACAGTACTTAAAGAGATATAAAATAAACCTGTGGCATTAAAATTTCATTTGGTAAGAGAGGTATATATTTTGCTTTAAATTGTGATTAGTTTGGTATTTGTTATAGTGTCTGAACTTGGATCTTAATTATTATATTGTTGTTGCTGTTGTTCAGCCATGAAGTCATGTCCAACTGTGTGACCCCATGGACTGTAGCATGCCAGGCTTCTGGAAAAGTGATATCTATGGTTTTTAATGTGATGTCTTGTTTTGTCATAGCTTTTCTTCCAAAGAGCAAAGTTTGTTTGTTTTATTTTAATTTTAGAGCTGCAGTCATCTTCCATGGTGATTTTGGAGTGAAAGCAAATAAAATCTGTCACTATTTCTATTTTTTTTCCCGTTTATTTGCCATGAAGTGATAGGACCAGATACTATGATCTTAGTTTTCTGAATGTTGAATTTCACGCCAGCTTTTTCACTCTCCTCTTTCACCTTATGAAGAGGTGCTTTAGTTCCTTTTTGCTTTAGTTCCTCTTAGAGTGGTATCATCTGCATATCTGAGGTTGTTGATATTTCTCCAAGCAATCTTTTTTTTTTTTTTTTTCCTTCAGAGCAGCTCATTACAGCTTTATTTATAAATGTGCATGGAACCAGAATGGCAGGTAATAGTAAAAAGGCTAACATGGTAGAACATCAGAGGAATGCCGTGAAGCTGTTATAGAACACAGAAGAGTTATAATGACATGAGAAACATCCACGAAGTGGTAAGTGAGAAATATAAAGAATTAATAGGCTCACTGATGTCAACTTCAAAAAAGTACTCTTGAAAAGCACATTGAAAATAGGTCAGCCAAAATATTTACTGTGGTTTTACTACAGATTCCTGTTATCTTCACTCACACAATTTTTATATACCCTGAAATGAGCATTTATTTATTTTATAATCAGATTTTATGAATAAATCTAAAAGTTATACTGTCCTTTCATCTATCAACTTTTTAGATCTTCCAGCAGTCCCTGTCACATTAAGTTGGTACTTAAGTAAATAATGCTTTAAAAAGATGATACACTTAAAGTCTAGGGTTAAAAAACCTACAAGATTTAATTTGTAACATGTGCTGAGCAGTCAGCCTTATTGAATAACATAGCACTTGTCTAATATCGTGTGATTTATGAACTAACGTTAGATACAAAATAGACCTAATCAGTAATTAATATAACATCTGATTACATTAATTGTGTCTGCTACATTTCCCTATTTTTGCATCTTCTCTCCATTCTAAAATTTAAAAAAAAAATAATTAAAACCTTAATCATGGGATTTCCCTGGTGATCCAGTGGTTAACACTTCACCTTCCAGTAGAGGGGGTGTGGGTTCCATCCCTGGTGGGGGAGTAGATATGCTATGTGACACATGGCCAAAGGACCCAAACATAAAACAGAAGCAATACTGTAACAAATTCAATAAAATCTTTAAAAATGGTCCACATTAAAAAAAAAAAAACTTAAAAACTTAACCATTATTGAATGTTTAAACTACTGAATGTTCTGTTAACTTCAGTAATATGAAAGATTCTTATAGAATTATGGTAATTGAGGATGCAGTGAGAGCTAACATCTGACACGAGGAGGTTCAGTGTCTTAGACATTTCTGGCTACAGAAATTTCCATCTAACTGTTGTATCAACATTATCATCAAAATTCCCCTGTTCCTGCTCTTTGGAGAGTTCTAAGAATACCTGTTCCAAGGTGGCCTGAGAAAGGCTGTATTCTTCCAGGTCTAAGGTCTGTTTCACTGAATCTAATTTGGAAAAGGCCTGAGACAGAGGGTGAACACCCTCCATGGGCAAGTTATATGCTATCGTGAATGAATAGCTTTCTTGCTAAGCATCCTGGGGGAAAAGCTTGAGAATCTGTGTGCAGAGCCTCCACATGGGTGAGTGCCTTTACTTTCACCTCCAGTAAATAGTCTTTACCGAACTTGCTTTTCAAATGCTGAATGGAACTGACACATCTCAGCCTTCCAGACACCATGATGGCCATATGGTCACAAACTGCCTCAGCCTTGGCCATGTCGTGAGTGATCAGCAGGGTGCCCCTCTCTGTGTTTTTAACAATGGCCTGGATTTCCTGCCACATCTGCAGCTGCCTCTAAGGGTCCATCCCTGTGGTTGGCTCCTCCAGAAGCACCACTGCGAGGCTTCCCAGGATGCTCACCACGAAGCATAGCTTTCTCTTTGCCCCCTCAGATAAGGGCTTGGCAGGGAATGTCATCTGGCCCTGCAGTTTCAATGTGTCTACCAACCTTGAAACACTGAGAGCAGCCTTCTCTTTGGCCAGTCCTTTTATGGCTGCATACAAGTCCAGGTGTTCTCTGACCATGACATTGGACCACAGTGCATTCCCCTGGGGACAGTACCTGAGACACCTGATGCCATTGCCTTCCTGTTGCATCTGAGGTGTTCCCCTGCCACTGAAAACCACCACTCCCTCAGATGGCTTTGTGTCTCCAGTTATCATTTTAATAGAAGTGCTTGTCTCAGCTACATTGTGCCCCAGCAATCCCAATACTTCACCTTTGTTAATACAGAAAGAAACATTCTGAATGGCTGTTTTTGTCTTTCTTGCTGAAAAGAATAAAAATATTTTCTTTTTCTGTTTATATTCCTTGTAATATAAACAGAATAAATCCTTGTGTAAACAGCTTGCCATTATTACTGGCTTCTCATCCAAGTTGGAAGCAGTGAGTACATTTGCCGTTTTCACTTTTTTCATTTGAATGTCTTCATCCTCTTCTTCCGGCTCTTCTGGGTTTGGACGATTTTCTCTTCTTGGAGAAATTCTGAAAAATGGATCTTTCCTCATTGTTTCTTTTCCATACTTCATTTCCAGGCACCATATAATAAAAATAAAAATGATGATCTGAAACTACAGTATGAAGACTGTTAGGAGAATTATTTCATCAGTTGCACTTTTCTTTATAATCCTGACTTTTGGATCTTCTGTGATACATAGAGGACAACTCTATCATATGTAATAGGAAAAAAGAAAAAAAAAACTGAAGTGCACAAAAGCATCAAAATTTTATATATAACCATAATGATATTTCCAGAACAAGTTAGTCCCAGAAGGTTGAGTATAAATATAATGAGATAAGAAAAAAGCTGAGAGACAAAAGGTCATTATATTTTCTTCCCATGGGAAAGAGGAATGAAACCACATATGTGAGGAGTATGAGACACGCCCACAGCCAGCAATGCAAACCACCAGAGCCAATATGAATTCTAATATAATTGTAAATTCCAAAAATATGTAGTACATGAAATGCATTGAAAGAATTCCAAAATAAAATGGAATGTCCACCAGTGCCTCTCCACACCAGTACACTGAAGGACAGAGGCCTGTGATTCATAACTGAGACTGAGCTTTTTGTTTGTAATCACTGACACTGCTCATCCCAATGTAACGGGAAAGGCAGTTTACAATGAGCAACAAAAGAAAATCTGAAAGGCCACTTGCCCATCTTGGATCACTGGGAGAAAACATGCTTCTCTCCAGTTTAATAAGCTCTGTGAAGTAAAAGATTCCAAGATGGGCATTGCTAATAACCCTAATAAGAACAGGAAAACTGTTCATCCTCTTGGTATTGCATGCAACTGAAAATCTGTAAGCCTTGTGGCCACCAGACACTATGATTGCTCCATTGTAGGAAGGGTCCTCTGAGCCATTTCTATTTCTAGCACCATCTACTTCCAAAACTAGATCCTGACCCTTCAGGGACTGCACAGCATCTTCAATATTGGATCCTGTATTGTTGATGATCAATAGACTGATCAGAGGAGTTTGAAGGAGCTGTTCCAGAGGAAGGAAGTGCATTCCAGGTGAAAACTCCCAGCAATAATCACGAAAAAAAACATTGAATACACTATCTTCTCACAGATGGTGAAGATTAAAGCAATTCCAAACACCACTAACAAGGGTAGAAAATTTTCCTCTCATTCCTCAACTTTAAGAAGCAGAGTCTCGCCATTGCACAGACTTGTCATCTCCACAGAGCTGCAGAATTGACGGCTTTTTTCACTTCAGGAAGAGAACAAAGAGCCTGTTCAACTTCAGGCTCAACTCCAGTATCTGTGGTCACATTGATTTCCACCAGTCTCCCAACACCAGAATCTGGCTCATCCATTGCTGATATGCCTTTTAGATTCAAGAATATCTCACTCAGAGTTGTCATGGAAACACCAAAATTCATTATGCTCTGGTCAGAAGAATTTTCAAGGTCTCTGCAATGATCTGCAAACTTGTCTGTTTTCTCCAGGGGTGAAGTATACACAAATTTTTCTTCACTTTCTGCTGTTAATCTTACGTCTGAGATGTGCTTTGTGATGAGGGATGTAATTCTCTCTGTATCGCACCTTTCATTCCTGTGCAAACTTAAATGATATCCAATACCCCATTTCTGCTTCAGAAACAAAGACAACCTTGTACCTCCGAGCTTCCCATTAGACAGAGACAGTTCCCTATCAGGCAGGATGTCAGCCTCATTCATGAACTGGGTACTAAAAGAGATCATGTTGGTAGTTTTCCACTCCTTTAGGAAGTTCCACATGAGGTGCATTGAGAAAGGATCCAGTCCAGCAGTTGGCTTGTCCAGGAGCAAAATCAGGCTCTCCTAAAACGGCAATCGCAAATGTGAGTTTTCTCTTCCATCCACCACTTAATTCTTTAGCAATGACATCTTGAATATTGTGCATGTCTGATTCCATCATAACTCCTTTTACCTCTTGTTCCACTTCTTTTGGTGGAACCCCTTTTTATTTTAGAAAATAGCCCAAGGCTTTCTCTCACAGTAAGAAAGTCGAAGTAGATATTAAATCGTGGACAAAATCCAGTGTAATTTCTTATTTCTTTCATGTTCATTATTTCAGAGAGTTGGGTGTTATAAATAGTAGCAGATCCTTTGGTGCAAACAGACCATGCTCAGCAATGATGATTTACCATCTCCACTGTGTCCAAGAATTGCTGTGAGCTGGCCTTCATAGATATCAAGACATATGCCTTGCAATGCTTGTACTTTTTCGGGCTTTCTTTTATTTTCTTTTTTAAGATTTCTGAATCTTATGGTTTCTTTCCTGTGAAACTCTGGAGACACTGACTCAAAAGAATCACTGCATAAGATTTCAGAATTCATTTCATTCCCAAGGGCTTCATGGTGAGTGTTTTTATGTTGGGGCCAAAACGAAGACTTCAGGAAAAACAGTGGTGAATGCTGCTGGCCATTTTTATCAAGCAAAATGTTCTCAAAATATAATGTTAACGTCAAATAGAGCAGAGTGTCAAATGCCAGAAAGAAGAAAATCACTATCATTGTTTATGACTCCCCAGAGGAATCAGGGAAAACAATACCACTCACATGATACTTCTGATGTGAAATCTGAGCCATTCCAGCAGTGGAGGCAAAAGGGTTAAATAGACATAAAGCCCATCCCAATGATAACGGAAGTTGTCTGTACAATGCCGTGAACCCCAGACAGCCCCAAGAAACAGTGAAGAGAGACCCAACCAAACCGGTTAGGATGGGTCTCTTTGTCAGAACACAGAGGAGGAAAGCCAGTGCTATCAAAGACAGGCCATTCAGGGTAAAGGGCATGACTACCACCATTAAGCCAGTAAGGATAACCATTTGGAATAATTTTATGACCAGAGTCATAAAAATGGACGCAATAAAGATGAAGCCAGCATACATCAACGCCTAGGAGAGCCAAAATGCTGACTATTGGAACCCCATCACTGTCATCAGCTTCTTATTTATTTATTTATTTTTAGTCCTCTGTAATGTTTAATGACGCAAAATACACAACAGGGGAGAAATAAACAATACAAATAAAAATGAACGATTCATTTACAATTTCTTCCTTAGAAATGAAAAGAAGTGTCCTCATATTTATTCCAATAACTGATGTCAACTTTTCCATCACAAAATAATTTGTTGTGACTTCTATAATTGCAGCATTAATTGCAGTTTGAAAAGCCACAAACCCACTTTGCCAGTATATTGACAAGAAACAGAAAGTTTCATCACGTAGGGCCCAACAGTGGTCTGAGTACTCGAAGTGCTCTCTTAAGATCGGGAGTCTGTGTCCACAACTGAACTTTAGCCGATAGGAGAAAGTGTCATTGAACACAATCCCCACCATCTCAGAGTCGTTTCTTGGATGGTGTACTCTGTCCATGGGTTCTTCATTAGGGATCCCAAGGATTGTTCTTCGTTTCATAAAGGAAGCTGAAGCCATCTTATCCATGATGTTCAAGGTCACATTAGTGACCGGCCACCACAACCAGATCAGAGTAATCAAATTAATCGACACGTCCTAGGACTTGAGGAGGCTGTTGAAGGAAATGAGTAGCTCTGAAGGGTTCTGGAGAGAGGCACAGAGAGAGCCGCAGGAGCAGCACCATCATCCACTCCAACAAGCTCTCTTTTTTCATTCTCCATTTTCTAAGAAAATTCTTGTGCAGAAGGCCCGAGTTTGTTGACACACGCTCCTTTTGTTTTTAATCATTTCATCCTTTCTCTGCAGGCTCTATGGTTATGCACTAGATAAGGGCTGTGGTGTGGGAGGTCGTTTCCCTTTTGTCTCAAAAGCAAATTTTCCTGCCAAATCCTGCCATTGCAACAATCGTCTGCTGAGCCTTCAGGGCGTCCTCATCTTTTGCTGGTGGAGGACCTGGAACATTAGAGAACCAGCAGGTGTGGTGCAGGGACATGTGGGGTGGATGCTGTGGGGACCAGGACATGGGGCACGTGTCATACAACCAGGTGGGTCCTGGAGGTCTGGGTCAGCATCTTCTGAGTTCATGTAGACACCTTAACCGGGTTTGGTCACATTGTCAGTCCAGAAAGGCTCAGCATACACCTCTCCCAGAAATCTTGATTCCAGCTTGTAACTTAACCTGCCCAACATTACACTTTATGTGCTCTGCATGGAAATTAAATAAACAGGATGACAATATACAGTCTTGATGTACTCCTTCCACAGTTTTGAGCCAGTCTGTTGTTCCATGTCCCATTCTAACTGTTGCTTCTTGGTTTGTATATAGGTTTCTCAGGAGGCAGGTAAGGTGGTGAGGTAAGGTAAGATAAGATGAGGTAAGGTAAGGTCACATTTCTTTAAGAATTTTTCACAGTTTGTTGTGATCCACACAGTCAAAGGCTTGAGTATAGTCAATGAAACAGAAGTAGATGTTTCTTTGGGATTTTCTTGCTTTTCCTATGATCCAAATGATGTTTGCAATTTGATCTCTGGTTCCTCTGCCTTTTCTAAATCCAGCTTGTACATCCGAAAGTATTCAGTTCACATACTGTTCAACTGCCTAGCTTAAAGGGTTTTCAGCATTATCTTGCTAGCATGTAAAATGAACATAATTGTACAGTCTTTTGAATATTCTTTAGCATTTTCTTTATTTGGGATTGGACTGAAATCTGACCTTTTCCAGTCCTGTGCCCATTTCTGTGTTTTCCCGATTTGTTGACACATTGATTGTAGGACTTAGCATCATCTTTTAGGCTTTGAAATCACTCAGCTGGAATTCCATCACCTCCACTAGCTTTGGTGGTAGTGATGGTTCCTAAGGCCCACTTGACTTCAAATTACAGAATATTTGGTTCTAGGTGAGTGACCACAACATCGTGGTTATCTGGGTCATTAAGACCTTTCTTGTACAGTTCTTCTGTGTATTCTTGCCTCCTTTTTCTAATCACTTCTGCTTCTGTTAGGCTCTTGCTCTTCTTGAGCCCATCTTTTCATGGAATGTTTCCTTGGTATCTCAAATTTTCTTGAAGAGGTCTCTAGTTTTTTCTCATTCTATTGTTTCCCTCTATTTCTTTGCATTGTTCCCTTAAGAAGGCTTTCTTATCTCTCCGTACATTTGGAACTTTGCATTCACTTGGGTATATATTTCCTTTTCTCCTTTGCCTTTCATTTATTTTCTCTTCTCAGCTACATAAAGTCTCCTGAGGCAACCATTGTGCCTTCTTGCATGTCTTTTGATTTGGAATTATATGGTCATATAAAATTTTATTTTTTACCAGCGATTATTAATTATGAAGCCTTGCATCTATTATTTAATGTCCTTGAAACTTGGAGTTATTCCTGTAAAATGGGAGTATAATACATGCTTCACAGAAATATTTAGAGGATTAAAGAGACAATGTATATAATGAACCTAACACAATAACATGGCACAGGAATGAAGAACTATTTATTTGTCTTTTTCTTGTTTACCCATGACTAAACACTAGGCTTAAAAGCCTGATTCAGTATTCAGTTTTGCAAGTTATTCACAAGTGAATAAATAATCCAAGTTTAGATTATTTATACCCAAAACTACCCTGAATTTTCAAAAGGCCCAGAGTCCTATTTATAACTATTTTAATTATGTGTTTCTTGGGGATGGTGTTGGTCACTGCTTCCAATACAATGTCACAAACCTCCATCCATAGTTCTTCACGCACTCTGTCTATTAGGTTTAATACCTTGAATCTATTTCTCACTTTCACATAATCATAAGGGATATAATTTAAGTCAGACCTGAATGGCCTAGTGGTTTTCCCTACTTTCTCCAATTTTCGTCTGAATTTGGCACTAAGGAGTTCATGATCTGAGCCACAGTCTGCTCCCTGTCTTCTTTTTCCTGAATGTATAGAGTTTCTCCATCTTTGGCTGCAAAGAATATAATCAATCTGATTTCAGTGTTGACCATCTGATGATGTTCATGTGTAGAGTCTTTTCTTATTTTGTCAGAAGAGGGTGCTTGCTATGACCAGTGTGTTCTCTTGCAAAACTCTGCTAACCTTTGCCTGCTTCGTTTTGTACTCCAAGGCCAAACATGCCCGTTACTCAAGGTATCTCTTGACTTCCAACTTTTGCATTCCAGTCCACTATAATGAAAAGGACATTTTTTTTTGGGGGGTGGGGGTGTTAGTTCTAGAATGTCTTGTAGGTCTTCATAGAACCATTCAACTTCAGCTTTTTCAGCATTACTGGTCGGGGCATAGACTTGGATTACTGTGATATTGAATGGTTTGCCTTGGAAACAAACAGAGTTCTTTCTGTCAGTTTTGAGATTGCATCCAAGATTGCTGGGACAAATAAGAAAAACTTCAGATATGCAGATGACACCACCCTTAATACAGAAAGCAAAGAAGAACTAAAGAGCCTCTTTATGAAAGTGAAAGAGGAGAGTGAAAATTTTGGCTTAAAACTCAACATTAAGAAAACTAAGATCATGGCATTCAGCCCTATCACTTAGAAACAGTGAGAGACTTTAAGTTTTTTGGGCTCCAAAATTACTGAAGATGGTGACTGCATCCGTGAAATTAAAAGATGCTTACTCCTTGGAAGAAAAGCTATGACCAACCTAGACAGCATATTAAAAAGCAGAGACATTACTTTGCCGACAATTGTCCATCTAGTCAAAGCTATGGTTTTTCCAGTAGTCATGTATGGATGTGAGTGTTGGACTGAGCACCAAAGAATTGATGCTTTTGAACTGTAGTGTTGGAGAATACTCTTGAGAGTCTGTAGGATTGCAAGGAGATCCAACCAGTCAATCCTAAAGGAAATCAGTCCTGAATATTCATTGGAAGGACTGACGCTGAAGCTGAAACTCCAATACTTTGGCCACCTGATGTGAAGAGCTAACTCATTGGAAAAGACCCTGAAGCTGGGAAAGGTTGAAGGCAGGAAGAGAAGGGGACAACAGACAATGAGATGGTTGGATGGCATCACCGACTCCATAATATGAATTTGAGCAAGCTTCAGGAGTTGATGGACAGGGAAGCCTGGCGTTCTGAAGTCCATGGTGTTAGAAAGTCAGACACGACTGAGCAACTGAACTGAACCAAACTGAACTGAATTATGTGTTTCTACTCCTGCTTCTTTTTTCCACTGTCCTGGACCTCTCAGTTTTGCCTACAACTGAAACTACCTTTTATTTTCTGTGCTATTATTGTGGGTCTGACAACCTTCTGGAATAGTTAGTTTGTTGGTCTGACAGCCAACATTAGTCTGATCCTTCCTAAGATCCACAGATCAACTGTCTCTCTATCTCTCTCACATACACACACAAAAACACACACATATATTCACACACAAATTCATATACAGATAGTAAAATACATAAGACAAACCATCACATTTAATTTCAAATGATGTTGAAATGACTTATAAGTCAATTATGTAAAGTAATCAGCAATAAACTCTTTATGTGTACATGCTAAGTCTCTTCAGTTGTGTCTGACTCTTTGTGACTCTATGGACTGTAGCCTGCCAAGCTCCTCTATCCATAGGATTCTACAGACAAGAATACTGGAGTGAGTTCCTGTACCCTCCTCCAGGGGATCTTCCTAAACCAGGTATTGAACCTACAGTCTCTTGGGTATCCTGAATTGGCAGTCAAATTCTTTCCCACTAGCACCACCTGGGAAGCCACAACAAAATCTGCAGATTAACATATTTGGGACAATAACTTTTTGTTCCAAAGGGCTTTGGGGAATATACCAATGTCAGAACTCTTTATATATGGAATGCATGGAATAATAAATGGAAACGAATGGCCTTCATCCTCTGTGGAGTAGTAAGCCTTTTTAGCTTAGCATGGAATCAAATATCAAGTATCAAACCTGAACTGAATGTAGATAGAATTCTATAGAAATTGCACTACTACTGCTAAAATGTTACTTTTTTTTTTCATACTTGAAATAGTCTTTGTGTGTGTACATGTACTCCCCAAATTTTGGAAAGTACGTTTTTAGCAAATTCCTTTCAATTAATTTTAACCAGTAATAGCAGCATGTATTCTACTCTCTGAACAGAAGGTTGAAGTAACTGATATAGTATAATCAATTAAATTTAATTTTAATCTATTTCTTCAAATCAATAATATGATATAAATCTCTCTGTGATACTGTGTACTATTTTTTCACTTGTTTTATTTTCAGTAACAATGCCCCCTACTGTATTAAATAAAACTGTGAATATGAACTGTTTGCTATACGAATATTTCTTCTGGGGAATAGGGCTTTTAGAGATAAAATTCATTCCTGCAAAATACATGGCAGATGTTATTCAGAAAAAAAATAAAGTACTATTGAAAGAGTCTCTGTATTTCATCACTTGTTATACAGAGAGCTTATTGGAACACCATTTGTTTTGTAATTGCAAATCTATACAGCATAGAAATACAACAATGGAAGGCAAACGTATTCAAGGGGCTAAATGAAAATATCAAGATAAAATGT